GCGCCATATTTGATTTAAAAGTTGACGCCAAATTGTTCAAAGCGTCGTAAAATGCATGAAAATTACAAATACAATTAAAGTCATGGAAGGGGGGCGCGGTCACAAGGCAGCACAGCGCTAGCTCTTTCACGGGAATCTTTGACCATTTTCACACCTCGCACTTAGCGCCTGGGCTGGCAGCGAAGGCGGCGCTACCTTTGGACTTGGCGCTTTGTTACCCGAAACTCTATTTGATTTGGCCATTCTCACCTTTGAACTCGGTTTACTTCTAATGAAGTCGCAGATTGGCTTTATGACTTTACAATGTTTGCCATGCGTGGGTCTTTATAGAGCCCAGAATCCGCCTGCGATCAAGTGTAGCGCCTTTTGATTACCCGTTTGATTTCGGCATGGGGCCACAGGATCTGGGAATTAAACAAACTATGTGAGAATATTACTAGGAAATTTGATTGGTTTGTAAGAAAATCAATAGATGACTAATTGACCAGAATTCACATAAATATTGTACTCAAATAATACCGTGATACTTAAGTGGAGCATATCAAAATATTGACTTTCATAACTTTAATAACACTCAATCGATTTACATGAAGAATGGCTTTTTATTCATGGCTTGGTCTCGCGATTATTTCTGCAATTCGAAACACAAACTTTGATCAAAGCTCATGTAAAAATGTTAAGTACATACTACATATGGAAACACTTATTTTTTTTAAAAAGTTTATCCTCTTAATTGATTAGTTATTAGTTTTACAATTTTTATTTATCAATTGTCTTCGCTTCAGTTAATAAATCGCATCCTTCGAAGAATGGCACGAAGTAGTTCAATGTACCAATAAATAAATATAACAAAGAATATATGATTGATTATTACGCGGAAATCTCAAATTAATTTATGCAAATCATCTTTAAGCACACGCCCATTTACAATTTCAATTCGAATTCGGATTTCCGACGAAGTGCCCAATCGATAAGTTCGTCCTGTGCAGCATTCGGCATTTTAAAGTTGCCTCGAAACTGTTTACTATGTCAATTTAAGGCTTGCAGCAACTTGAAAATTGCTCATACGCCGCGTGCAACATTTATGACACACAAGGCGGCAAATGGGCAACATTTTCCTGGCTGCCAGCCCCACCCATCTGCAACACCCTGCCTTGCTGCACAGTTCCACTCGAGCCACTCACCACATGGAAAACACCCACATATGCACTAACACCGCCAATTTGACGCCAATGCGACTCCATTTGTCTGTGTGAGGCGCTCGGCACGCGTGCATCTGTATGCGTGTGTGTGTGTGTGTGTGTGTGTGTGTGCATGTGTGTGGTGTGTGTCTGTCTGTGTGCTCTTCCTGCTAGCCGGCACTTGGATGCCATTTTACGAAAATGTTAAAGTATCAAAATCATTGGAATTGCGTTGAGAATGTTTGACAGTTCATAAATGCTCGGCGCTTGACTTGCATAAATATTTTCTACGGCCTCTGACAGGATGTAGAAGCGGGCGCGCACTCACACACTGTCACGCACACACACATATCTATATATATATATATATATATAAGAGCATATATGTGTGTGTGCGTGTGCAGCGCTGGCACTTGAAAAGTTGAAGCTGTCGCACATCAAAATGCGAAAAGTTAAACAAACGTTCGCGACGTCGACGTTGACGCTGGCCGCGACAGCTACGTTCGCGTCGCTGTCATCACAGCTTTTACAGCTATCGGGCGCATAGCTCAACACATTTTGCTTTTTAGTTTTGTTCTTGTTGTTGTTGTTGTTGTTGTTGTGCACGGGCTCATGGTTGCCATTTTGTTTTGAAAGCAATAAAAAAAAACGTCGCTTGTTGCTGCTGTCGCTGCCGTTGTTGTTGTTGTTGTTGTTGTTGTTATTTTTGTTTTTGTTGTTTCTTTTATGACCAGCAACGTGCGCCAGTTATTTTTGTTGTAGTTTTCTTTAACTGTTTTGTTTTTATGCTCTGCGTCTGCGCTCTGTTAAACTCACTCAACGAAAAAATCCACTCAAAATGTCAACCGAAAGAGCGCAAAACTCACTCAAAAATGTGGGCGTTGCCCAACTGCCAGCCACGCGTCACGCTTGCCTGCCTCTCAGCGAGAGAGTGTGTGTCTGTGAGCTGTAGTTGTGTGCATTACAGGGTGTTTCTTGGCATTTAGTTTCAGCTGCTGCTCAAAAAACAGCTGTTGGCGATTTGAGTTATGAGCTCCTGCCGTTGTCCTCTGGCTGCAATTGCGACTGCGGCTGCGACTTGGGCCTGTGCCGGAATTTCGTGGAATTTTTGCTAGTCCCAACAATATTCGAAGTGCCCGTTTACGAGTTTAAATTGAAGTTTAAGCGCCGGCAAAACAATTTGATGCCGACTCTTTAAAGTTGCTTAGCTTATCCATTAAGCATTTCATCTGTAGATAAGTATATTTCTCTATAGGTTGTGTTTACTGAATTAATGCCCTTCCTTGCGACTACAAATACTTCAAGTACAAATTTCTATTATCTTTAGTCAAGATTTTCTAATTATTCCGCTAGCCAGAAAGTTCCTTTCGAGCGTCAGCTCAAGTATTTTTGTAGCTTTGTCAAAAGCAAGTTCCTTTCAAATCCCATATCTCCGACATAGCTGCTGTTTCCTTATTTTTCTCTCACATTTCCCGTTGCCTCAGCTATTTCCCAGCTCTTTAGTTGTAACAATACTTAGCACTGAATAACTCACATCTCAATGGGCTCCTGCAATGCTTTTTTTTTGCTCGAGATTCCATCAGCTTTACGCTCTACTTCTTGTCGCACTTCACATTTCGCACATCTTTCACTGGGTCTTCACTCAGTTGAGCCGAGGGGGTAGGGGGGCCAACATCTTGAGCTTTGTCGAAGGCGCCTAACTATTCGCTTCCGCGTCTACAGCCATTTCCGTTGCACTAGTCAACAAAACAGCGCAAAACAGCAAAAACAAAACAAACATAAATAATAATAAAAAAAAAAAAAAAAACAAATAGCGAACGGCCAAAGAAATGCTAACAACTCGAACGAACGACAGAAAAAAAAAACAGCTAAAAAATGTGTGTGCTACATAAATGACTCAGTGTGTGTGTGTGTGTGTGTGTGTGCGAGTGTGTATTTTTTGGGGGCTGGCCTGGGCGCACAGAGGGCCATGCAAAACTCTAGAGCCCAATATTGATGGGACGCGCGCACGAAACGCAGCTAACTGAAGGAAAAAATATGACGCGATTAGAATCTGTAATTAGTTTTCGTGTATCTGCAATTGTTGCCGCTTGTTGCCGCTGAGAACTGCACTTGTTTGGCGGCAAAACTTAAAAAGGCGTTAAAATGTGCGCCGCTCGCAACACGCGATGTGTGCGGAAGCCGCAAACTGCAGATGGGCGGAGGATGATGAATGGCTGAGTAGAATCAGCAGCAGCAGCAGCAGCAGCGCCTCATAAAAGCCAAAAGGTAACAAAGTTGTTGTTGACTTTGGCCAACAGTTTCTTTTACCTTTTTTTTTCGCAGAGTCAACAGCAGGGGCCAATGCCCCTTCGCCCGCACCCGCGCCCACAAACTATGCGCATCCGTTTCTCTGGTTGGCATCGCTTAAATTATATCGATTTCGTATCATAATCAAATGTTTGCTGGCTTGTCGTTGGCGGTGCCGACAATAACAACTACAAAAACACCGACACCAGCAACGGCAACGATAACAACAATAATCAACGCACGACAACAACAACAACAACAACAACAACAACAGTGACAAAGGCAGCAGCAACAGCAACAGCAACAACAACAATGGCAAACAGTAGTGGCAACAAACAGGCTCATTTGCATATTTACCAAACACACAGATGTGACACACACGCACACACACACACGCACACTCACAGTCAGAAACACACGCATGCCAAAATATACGATATCGTGTGCTCATAATAAGTATCTGATAAGTAATGATATACAAACACACACACACAGAGACGGATAGAGACAGACACAGACACAGCGTTAAATACAGACACAAAATGGCTGCACACCACAGCGCCAACACACACACGCACACACATGTCGAGCCATTATGCAAAGTGCAATGGCTGCAGTTGTTGTTGTTGTTGTTGCTGCTGCTGCACTTTGCATTGGCGCTTGCAACAGCTCTCGTTTGGCTTTGCGGCGCATTTTTGGTGTAACACAAAGTGAAACAAATACACACACACACACACACTCACCCACACACACACACACACACACACTTGGTGAAAGAGCAAGCAGAGCGACACACACAAAATGAACAGAAACAAAAGTCAACAACAACCACACGAACAACCCCCACATATAGAGCAACTCTTGTAGGCGTCCGAAAAAAAAAAAAACATTTAACAATTTATTAAAGACTTCGTGTTAGACGTTTAGCATGGGTATTTGGTATGGTATTTTGATTTATAGCAGAGCTATTTGTTATATTCTATTATTTTTTTTAAATTTAATATATTCGTACCTTTTGCTCTCTATCGAGCGAGAGACTATGGAGACATGATATTATATTATCTAAATGTATTTCAGTTAATTACTTTTCATGAAATTACATTTTTTTTTGCAGCATTTGAAGCTCTAGGGCGTCGTTTTTGTGAGCCCATGAAATTTTATATTCAATTCCTTTTTAATATGATTATATAGGAAAATTAAATTGTTATCAAAATTGTTTTCTATCAACAATTTGTGAGTAAATACTGTGAAAAAAATAGGCACAATGCAAAAGGGGATTTTTCTTCTTCTTTGTGTTGCATTCGTAAACGTTTTACGAGCAGCTGGCTAGAATAAAATAAGTATGTATGTGGAACAAGATGCTCTCTTTTTTTTAGGCAGCTATAGAAACAATATAATCACCTTATCTGGGCGAATATACTTAATTTCTGTGCCGTCGGTAGATCGTGTTAACTGTACCCAAAAATAAAACAAAACTGACTTGTGGAACGTGCTATATTATACATAACTTTAAGCTAAGCAAGCACTTAAAAGCGGCTTGACACTTTTGTCGAATTTTATGACTTGTTTGTCCAAATGCTCTATAACAAAATTATTTCGTGCATAAATTGTTTGTGGAATTCGTGTAGCTGTAGCGCCGCCATTATTTTCCAGCACACATTAAAGACGCTTTAAATCCGCTGAGATCCACTTTTAATGTCTAACAACAAATAAAAAATAAAATAAAATAAAATATTGGTGAAATGCGCTCAGCTAAGTTTCGTGCGTCAAAGCTGCTCTCGCATTGAAAATCAATTAAAAAACTATTTGAGTCGTTTGGTAAATCAATTAAAAAATGAAATTCCAAAGAATGTAGCTATTTTATGTTCGGCTTGCAGGTGTATAAACTCTTATCTCGCAACTCAAATTATAAATTTTATGGGCAGTCCATAAGCTTTATCTATTGGTTTTTTAGTGCGGCTTGTTTGGACCTCAAACATATATAGTCCAATTTCAAGCTGCCCTTTATGTCCAGCTGGAGGCACCCATAAAACTGGAGCAGCGACAAATTGATGGGGCCACAACCAGACACTTCGAATAGGCGTGAAATCCATATTGTTTATGGGAGCACAGCAAATAAATAAATAGACATATATAACGACTGACGCCTCGGGCGCATATGCATAACCAGTGCCAAAATCTTGAGTTTTCACAAAACTCGCCTGTTATCCCACACAAATGTAAAGCGTACAAAATTTGTCAAATAATAACTCGACTAAGTAATACCCGTACCGTGCGCTGCTGCACTTTATGCCCTGCCAGGACTGGCCTTAGGCAGCTATTTAATGTTGAAATGGTTTTCTCTATGCAGTTACTTTGTTGAGCCGTCGAACATACCCTGTCTGGGTTTCGGGCACGGGTATAATGTGGCTGAAATGTACATATTCAAGTGCCCGCTGGCGATTGCGTTGACTTCTGTACGAATGCGCAACGTGGAACGCATTTCGCATTGTCACATAATTACACAATGAACGAGCGCTCGTCCAGTTTCAGCTCGATTCCAGCTCAGTTCGTCGCTCGGGGTGCTTCCCACACAATATCAAGTATTTATCATTGAATACATTTCCCATTGTTAACTTGTTAATTTCGATTGATTGATTTTTAATGCGAGCGCGACAACAAATTGTATTTTGATTTCAGCGCCTTATCTAAGTCTAGTTATGATTAAATCAAGAGCACACGCGGCTTATGCATTCAAACAAAACGACGAACGCCAAGTGCACAGGGTAAGACAGACAGAGAGAGAGAGAGAGAGAGGGATTGAGAGTGTGAGAAGGAGAGGGCGTCAAGTCAATGGGAAGTCAACGGCACGTGTCCTTAATCCGGTAATTACGACGCTACAAGCCCAACTACGCCAAATACGCTGCGTGTCATGTTTTGGCCCAGGATTGTGGTCTGCTACAATGGCCATAAGTCTGCTGCTTATATAGATAAAAGATACAGGCGATATATGAGAGCCCGATAGGCATCAATAGAGAGTTTTTCCCATGAGCAGCATAACAAGTTAATTTATGCCGCCGCTTGCTGTTGATGCTCAGGCGAGATAAAACAACCCTTTTCCACAGTTTTTCTTTATTTGGGAAAGTCGCCGGATCAGTTAACCTGTTGACAGGCCACAAAATTCAAATAAATTATCCAGGCCACAATAGAGAATTCCAATCGCATTTATCTAGACAACCTAATGTGGAACCTAGAACCTGCAACCTAAGCGCAGCCAAAATGATAAACGCTTGTAAATCGCTGCTAGTCGCTACTAAAATGTGCCCCATCTCCATTTGTTGTTGTTGTTGTTGGTCTTGTGGAACCGGCCACGCATAATAGAGTTATCAGAGAGTCTAAACTCTATACTCTATCGAAGATGCGAGTTTGATTAATTGTCGCTGTTTAAAGTTCGTTCGCGCTCATAATTTCCCTTCATCGTCTTTCACAAATACAATTATCATTTTGTGGCTTTGGCGTTAATAAAAAAAAAATTTTCTATTGTGTTTTATTGTCTTTACACAAATTTACCATATGCATATGTGTCCATGCATATAGTATTATTAATTTTATATATATATGTATATAATACCCCCGTGCGCGGCGTCGAGACAATGCGCCGCGTCTGGCAGCGCCGCAGTCAAAGTTAAATCGTTTTTTTATGAAAATCTCTTATGGGCTTTTAAATGTTTAATCGCTTATGAATTTTGATAACGCCGCGTTTTGAGCTACTAAAATGGGCTGGTGCGGCGGCAGGGTAAGGCTAAGAAGGTGAGGGGGAATCACGACTATGATGATAAACGAAAGAGCATCCATTAGTGCAGAAAAGCAATTCACTTGAACTATTCATATACCCACTTTATGGGTCTATGTATTAGGAAAATACAGTTTTTAAGTATTTCCCGATAGTCGGAGAATCCGTATTATTTAGTTCGCAGCTTCATCAAATTTGATAAACTATGGGTAAGAGAGTGATAGCATGAAACCTGTAGACCTTACTTAAATTTATGAGAATTGCATAGGAGGGCAGCATTAACATACGGTTATTTGTTTAAATTTGATTTAACTTATGATTGGGAATAAATAACTGACCAATATTCGATTTCTTTCTTACAACTCTATCAACATTTGCTACCAGCTTTTTGTAGCTACCAATAATGCTCAAGAACAAGCTAAATAAACCAAAAAAATAACTTACCCCATAATTCTCGGTTTAACGAGCAGCGTTGCCAATTGGCACCCGCACTAAGTGAACGCCCGCAAATCAGAACGCGCCGCTTAAACTTCTCGCTGTCCGGCAACAATGTGGCGTTCGAGCCATTTGCCAATTTTATGGGCACTCTGAATTTCAATTTTCCAGCCCCAAGTGGCGTCTCTGGGCACCTTTCCAATGCCGTTAAGGCGAACGTCAGCCTCAGCTCCGACCCCCTTCTCCAACTCCAACTCCGATTTCAAATCCAACTCGGACTCCACGTCGGAGCTTGTTATCAGCGATATGGCATCATTGTAATAGACTCTTCACTGTGCACATTTTACGATGCTTACAAGCATTTCAACAAGTTTTACAGCTTTTCCGCTAAAAGGCAGCCCCCAACTTGTCCACACACAAACACACACAAATGAAAAGCTAGGAAGTCCCAAAATCGAATATCTTTTCGATGGCTGGTTTGAAGCCGCGCTCAGTATCTTGGGCCATATGCAAGCAAAAGAAATCAACCCGAAATGAGCCATTAAATGCTGCTAAACACGCGGGCATTTTCCACCGTTTCCACCGATTCCATTTGCTTCCACAGTAGTAGGCCGACGGCTTCGGTCCGTACAGTCATAAATTTCCGACAAAAGAATGTAACCCGACGCCAGTCCAGGGCCAGATATACTCTGTCGTAGTCGTAGACTCCATCAGTTGGTTGGCAGGTTTTTCAGTTTCCCGTTCGATTGCTGCAGCCAGATTTCTTCTGAATAAATTAAAACTAAAATCTTGGCGCTGACGCTGAAAACGTGGGAAATGTATTCATCACTTAAAGCCAAAGACAACGATTTGATCTTCTGCTACTCTCTGTGGCACCGTGGCGCATGATATTTTTTGTTATTCTTATTTTATGACCACTTAAAAGTAAATAATCTTCTGCAAGTGCTGTATTACGTTGGAATTTGGAAAACTGCAAAGGAATGCAAAAAATCCCGCTGTACATGATTAGAATATTAACCAGATTTGGCTTAAAAGTTAATAAAATGTTAGTTTCCTTTACAAGAAAGGCGATATAAAAAAAAGGAGGTTGTTTGTTATATAAATCAGTAAAATATTAATTATGAGTAACGAAAGCATTTAAGCCTTCAGAAATTTACATAAGGAGGAGACAGACAATGAGAGGTAGAGAAAGACAGTAAAACAGAGGGAGGCTACTAGATACGGACAAAAAAGAGATTATCACAGTAAAAGAGATGAAGAGACGGACTGAGAAAGAGATTAAAGTTATAATGAGAAGGAGATTCATAAAAGGAGACTCAGAGAGAGGAAGGGAAAGATTCATAGTAAAAGAGAGTGTAAGAGTGATATTGAATAGTCCTAGACTAAGAGAGTTTGTTGTAGTAAATCAAAGCCGCAGGGCTGTACTTGGTCTCATGAGAAGCGCATAGGGAGGCGATGATTGTATCGACACCGAAATATAGACGATTTACTCGATTATTTTAAATCACTTAAAGCTTTATATATTGTGCTTATTGATTTGAATTCCTGTTAAAGCTTATACATTTATTTTTCAATTTATGTTTTCAACGAACTAATCAAATTTTATAGCTCTATTCAATCCCTTTGAATTCTCCCCCATTTTGGCGCTATTGCCGACGCTTATCTCGCAGTGCGTCATGTAAATTGTCACAGCTCAACAGCCACTAGCTCACGGTAATCACCTGGCTGAGCCAGCGGTCACTCCTGCAGCTGTCTGGCTACCAGGTCGTCCACATCGCTGTCCGGTTATCTGAAATTCCAGTTAAATGCCCAATGGACGATAAGATTTTCCGCTTACAACGCTTGTGCCCAGTGCTGAGTGCTCATATCCCAGTTCCCAGAGACTGACAGAGAGAGAGGGAGAGAGAGAGAGAGACCAAAGCGATCTGTGCATCTGTTGCTCACATCTGACATTTGAAGTGCGCATATCTCTCTCAACTCTATGCCGGCCCGGGACCGCCAAATTGGTATTAAATTACTCACTTTGGTGATAATCGAAATGGACACGACACGATTACAACAACAAGAACAACACCAAGAAGAAGATGAAGAAGAAGAACAGCAGCGGCACACAGCCAAATGATATCCAAGTTGAAACGATCGACTTTGGCGGAAACTGCCGCCGTCCAATCGCGCCCCACCAACTGTGAACCAGTTCTTCGACTATTGCGCACCATAAAGAAAGTAAAAATATTAAGACGCAGACAAGTTGAAAATGCCACCACATCACATTTTGAGCGTTTTCAAAACGATCAATTTTATAGATAAGACTCGGCCAGCAGGAAGGCTGGTAACAGGCAACAGACTCCACAGACTTCGACATGGACTTCACAGACTAGTGATGAACGCGGGCCGTGCTTTCAATGCACGGCCCTACACGAACACGAAACAAACTTTTTAAGCACGCACGGCTATCATTTGTCAGAGCACGATCCGGTCAAAAAACTACTTTAATCTTTTAATATGTTAGTCTGTTTGCATTGCGAATTACCGAACAGTTGAACCTCGTCTATCTGGATCCTGGCCAGCTGAGAGGTTGATTTTATTGATGGTGGATATTATTAACCCTTGATTATTTTAATCTTTTCTCTCTAGTCTACTAATAATAGAGGTAAGTCCCGGTTAGCAGATGTACAAAATCAATTACAGACAAATTATCTTAAACAATTTTTTTTTTAAAACGTACTTTTTGGAATAGAATGAGATGACAATATGGAATAACTATACGTCTATAGATTTTAAGTAATAAAATTTAAAGCATTTTTGAAAGAGTTCACATTTCCTTGAGTCAGGTTCTTTGATATCTAGGGAGTACTCTTGGCAATGTCTTGAAACACGCATTAAATAGCATTTTGCAGCACTGGCTAATTGTAGCACGACTTATGCCCATCTCTAGCTAAGACATTTGCCCATCTCTAGCAGAAACCCAGCAAGAGTGTTGATCATCGGAGGCCCAGATCGTTTGCAGGTAGCTGCCGCAACAACAACAACTATATTAAGAGGCTGGGCATCGGTGTTCAGGCTTCGGGTTTAGTTGTGGCAATCGGCGCAATCTCAACATATGTCAAATTGGGCAACTAACTGGCTAATCAGTTGGACAAACAGTCCGCTGTCGCTGGAACAAGTGTTATTATTTCTCACAAACATTCGTAGCCGGGGCAAATCCTATTTGCATTCGCAAACATCGCGCCGGACTATTAAAAACAAATATTTGCGGCCAAAAAAGGATCAGCACACACAAAGTGAACATATGTAGGCAGGATGTGGACAGGAGCTGCCTGCCTGGCACCCCTTTCTCGCTGGCTTGTCACCTAATCCCGTTGTTGCCCGCACGCTGGACTCCGAACTGAACTGAACTATCCCTGGCAGCGTTTCCG